GGTACGGCACAGTACGGTTCACTTTAGGTGGGTTTTCCACTAGGTACAGTACCTGGTACCTGGTACTTTTTTTGGTACTACCTCGGTTGGGGTTCCAAGTGAACCGTACCGTTACCAAAACGTGACGTGTAAACTGTGCTGATCACTGATTGGCTGGAGAGAATCGTCACTACCTGCGTCACTGAACTTGCGACACAAACACAAAAGAAACGCTAGATTTAAATCGGCACAGCCAGCAAAGGATCGAATGCAACTGTTCTGAATGAGCGCACCTTTTTTTAACAACCAAAAAGTTTTGTTGTCTGTTGCGGAAGAACAGACGTTCCTCTCGTTGATAGCAGAGGAGCGGATCTAGCGAGAGCTTGATGGGGCGATGCAGAATTAAACATTTTTTTAGGAGTCGTAGTAGAGGCGGCGCAACTATAACGGCATGTGAATAATCCCGCCCACTCTAAAGCGGTACTGAACTGCAGTGGAAACGCAAACCGAACCGAGCCGAGTCGTACCACGCAGTGGAAAAGCACCAAATGTTGTCTGAGGGTTGGCATCATCTGAGGTCCTCTGATGGGGTTGGCATCATCTCTTCTCAGGTGTTCGGTCATCTCAGGTCTTTGTAAGGGTTGGATCCAGACTGAAGCTTGTGGTCCTAGTTTCCACGGGATGCCAATCCAGAAGGAAATAGAGAAAAATGAGCGTAGCTGCTGTTCCAACTAAGCAAAAAATCATGCGTTCAACCGAAGCAAACGAATGTTGATGTGCATTTGATCAGATATAACTGAAGTACAAGGTTATGAGATACATTATGTGAATGCTTGGCTAAAGAGATGTGTCTTTACAGAAGAGCGTGTGTCTGAACCCCGAACATTATCAGGAAGGCTATTTAACTATTAACAATGACTTTAGCTTGAATAAACTCCTAATTACTGCTTATTAGTTAGTAAGGTAGCTGTTAAGTTTAGGTATTGGGTAGGATTAGGGATGTAGAATATGGTCATGCAAAATATGTGCTTTATACGTAATAATAAACAGCCAGTATGCTAGTAATATGCATGCTAATAAGCAACTAGTTAATAGTGAGAATTGGTCCTTATACTAAAGTGTTAACTTACCATATATTTTAGATGAAAGATCTGTGTAAAATCTCGACAATTATATGGCCAGTCAGAGTATGCGATTAAAATTTTTTTACTACTTTTTTACTACCTATTTTTTTTTCCTGATTCTTTGTTTTTCTGAAGTTATTGATGAATCATGTTTTGTTCTTGAAAATGTGAGATTTTTGCATAAATACGCAGATTTTATGCTCAAATACATGTGTGTGCGCTAGAGATGCACCGATTGCAATTTTCTTGGCCGATTCCTATTTCCGATTTTATCGTTAGTGTGATCTGCCGATACCGATTTTTGCCGATTCCGATTTTCTTTCTAAGAACTATAATTGACAGCATATACAAGCAAAAATCTACTTTTCAATGCAAAGTTTTATTTTCATAAAAAAAACAAGTAAAAAGAAACAAATACAAAAATTGCAAACAACAGCACAAATAAATGCAATAGAATAAAGAGAGCTATGAAACTAAGTTTTTCAGGTTAAGTTTGTTTTTATTCATGTAAGAAATACTACAGAAATTAAAGTAATCTAATGTAAAATAACCCATTCAGTGTTATTTTACATTTGATTTAAATTTCTGTAGTCTTCATTGTAAAAATTAAATACAGATTAATGCTTCCCATTAAAGTTATAAAACGTATGGAGTCAAGAGCAGAAAGTGATTTTCTTTCTTTTGTTCTTTGATTAACATGACAGACAGCAGCAGGAATATTGGACTGCGGAAAAGACTGGTCCCTTTAAGAGGTTTCCACAGACCCAATATACTGTTAAGCTGGGCTCACACTGTGCGATTTTATTTTATTTATTTATTTTTTCCTTTAGGAAAAGTCCTTTAGGATTGTACTTGTCAGAACATGATGATCATGTCACACTGTGGGATCTCGGTTGTCGTTAATGTCAGACTGTACGACAGTCAAGACGTGTTAAAAACGGGTGTGCGCAAGAAAACTTGTCCTGAGTTTTACCTTATCAACCCATACACGTTCAGTGACTGCGAGCTGCATTGCAATGGCTGTAATGTTGGCGATCATTAAAATTATATGAATGGCGACAATACCGGCGTATTTATGCAGAATAGTGCAAGCAGCACTACACACCCACATGAAAACAGCAGGCAACCGGTTGCGCTCCGATGAATTCCGTGAATGGAGGACAAGAGCGCCGGAGTTTATGCGGTTAGAAGAAATCTCTAGCATTAATTCTGATCATGGCTTGTTTTGAAAAACGAAGACAGTTTGACGTTCGTCATAGGAGAAGTCACACTGCAGGACTGTGCGCCAAATCTTCTGACACTGCCAGAAGTTCGTCGGAGGTCAAATTTGATCGCAACGGCCATTAATCGGCTGTCGGTGAACATGTCAAACTAACGATCAAAGACTACAGATTTTAGGCCTAGGATTATAGGAATCTTTTAGGATTTTCAAAATTTGTCTCGGACGACCAAATCTTGGCCAAAATCGCACAGTGTGAGCCGGGCTTTACACAACATGCGTTCTCTTTCTCAACTATTTAACGTTCCAAAACTGACTGTGTTTAACTGGATACTCGCCAAACGGGCATTTTGACATAATTTTGTATGTATTTGACCGTTTTAGCGCAGTTAGCCACTCATTTTGGTATTTGTGGCTCACAAGCTGTTTGAGACTGAGCACGGCTTGTGCGCTCCACTAATATAGATCAGTGGTGGTGCGCAGCGCGAAACCTGCGGGAATGACTAAAAAATTGCGCAGTACAAGCACTATTTAACCGGTGCGAACGAGACGTGTGTGTGTGTGTGAGAGAGAAGGGGTCGTCGGAGAGAAGAGAGCGAGAATGCGCGGCTGACGTTATTGCCTGTGCCGCTGGTAGCAAAACGGATCGGCTCGGAATCAGAAAGAAGTAAGACTGATCGGCCGATCACCGATCCGGGCCAATCAGGAGGAAAATCGTCCGATTCCGATCCCTGGCCGATCGATCGGTGCATCTCTAGTGTGCACGAGACCTAATATTTAAGTTTGAGAAGCAAAAAAAAAACAAAAAACATGTACAGTATGTGATCAAGGAACACACATTTTAGTAAATCTGAAGATATTGCAATTAATTACAGGAATTGACGTATATGATTAAATGGTCTTAACAATGGTTAATAATGGAATGAAATGATAAAAAATATTAAGTAGAAGAAGAAAAATAAGGATCGTAATAATAATGGAATAATGGTCTTAAAATAGGCTTCATTTCTTTATTCAAAATATAGTTTCTTATTTTTATTTTGAGGTAAAAGTTTTCATTTTCTTCATGAGGTTCACTCAAACAGGTTAGTGTCAACTAAATAATCCATTTACCATTGCTATTTTGATGATGTTGCTATTATCTGACAGAAACGAGTTGAGTGGAAGGAAAAATTGTGGAAGAAAAAGATGCACAACCAGCCGTGAGAACCGCAGCCTTATGAGGATTGTCATGCAAAATGGATTCAAGAATTTGAGTGAACTTCTCAAGGAATGGACTGAGGCTGGGGTCAAGGCATCAAGAGCCACCACACACAGACGTGTCAAGGAATTTGGCTACAGTTGTCGTATTCCTCTTGTTAAGCCACTCCTGAACCACAGACAACGTCAGAGGCATCTTACCTGGGCTAAGGAGAAGAAGAACTGGACTGTTGCCCAGTGGTCCAAAGTCCTCTTTTCAGATGAGAGCAAGTTTTGTATTTCATTTGGAAACCAAGGTCCTAGAGTCTGGAGGAAGGGTGGAGAAGCTCATAGCCCAAGTTGCTTGAAGTCCAGTGTTAAGTTTCCACAGTCTGTGATGATTTGGGGTGCAATGTCATCTGCTGGTGTTGGTCCATTGTGTTTTTTGAAAACCAACGTCACTGCACCCGTTTACCAAGAAGTTTTGGAGCACTTCATGCTTCCTTCTGCTGACGAGCTTTTTGAAGATGCTGATTTCATTTTCCAGCAGGATTTGGCACCTGCCCACACTGCCAAAAGCACCAAAAGTTGGTTAAATGACCATGGTGTTGGTGTGCTTGACTGGCCAGCAAACTCACCAGACCTGAACCCCATCGAGAATCTATGGGGTATTGTCAAGAGGAAAATGAGAAATAAGAGACCAAAAAATGCAGATAAGCTGAAGGCCACTGTCAAAGAAGCCTGGGCTTCCATACCACTTCAGCAGTGCCACAAACTGATCACCTCCATGCCACTTCGAATTGAGGCAGTAATTAAAACAAAAGGAGCCCCTACCAAGTATTGAGTACATGTACAGTAAATTAACATACTGTCCAGAAGGCCAACAATTCACTAAAAATGTTTTTTATTGGTCTTATGAAGTATTCTAATTTGTTGAGATAGTGAATTGGTGGGTTTTTGTTAATGTGAGCCAAAATCATCACAATTAAAAGAACCAAAGACTTAAACTACTTCAGTATGTGTGCATTGAATTTATTTAATACAGAGTTTCACAATTTGAGTTGAATTACTGAAATAAATGAACTTTTCCACGACATTCTAATTTATTGAGATGCACCTGTATGTATCTATATATAGAGCTGTTTAGAGCTAGGCATGTATTCACTAGAGCATGTATTCACCATATACTTGCTATGATTTTTCTAATTTTTCATGAGCATCATTGTACATTAATTTAGATTTTTAATGTGCACTTTATTTGCCAATTCTGACATAATTTGCCCTCCCTTATGCCATTTTGACTTTCTTTTTTTTTCGTGGAACACAGAAGGTACAAAGTGAAGTCTACAGGGCATCTTACCTTTTTTTTTTTTGTGTTAAATTGCGTGTCTCAGATTGCTGTTCTCAGCAGGCCTTGAAGCTCTTTAGAACAGTTAGCTGAAGTCCATTTGTCTGTGTCCGTCAGAGATGTTAACACTGCTATTATGGAGCTGCTGATCATGGCCTATGCACTGAAGACCTCCTGTGCCAAGAACATCATCGGCGTGATCCCGTACTTCCCCTACAGTAAACAGTGTAAGATGAGGAAGAGAGGATCTATAGTGTGCAAACTGCTCGCTTCCATGTTGGCTAAAGCAGGTAATGGCTTATGATGGCTGTCATGTTCCTACTTCTGTTTTAGCAGTAACAGTCAAACATGTGGACACCACAATCAGTCTTTATTTTTATGGTTGACTGCTTTTTCTTAACTCCGAATTAAAAATGACCATTTTAGTTGATTGAAAAGAAATTCATACACAATTTATATTTGTCTACATTGACTAATTCTTAGCATTTTAGCATTCAAAAAATAGATCAACGATGTCCAATGTGTCTAAAGGTTTTACTGATATGGTTATGTGTTACACCATTATGATCCAGAGTGTTTTTTCAGCAGCTTTTGATAATTTGCAATGTAAACTAGGTCTGACTCATATAATCACCATGGATCTGCACCAGAAAGAGATCCAGGGCTTCTTTACTTTCCCTGTGGACAACCTGCGGGCTTCTCCATTCCTGGTGCAGTACATTCAGGAGGAGGTAGGCAGCATTTACAGCCATTTAATATATATATATATATATATATGAAAAATAATGTAATTTTTGGTTCTTCCCATTTCTATTTTGAATAGATTCCTGATTATAGAAACGCTATCATTGTAGCCAAGTCCCCATCTGCTGCAAAAAGGTAACGGCTCCTGGATCTGTGTTGTTATTTGTCATAGATAAAACCGTGCTTAGATGGAATTGGCAGACTTTTTTTATTTTTAATAAAAAAAAATCTGATTTTAAGGGAAAATCTGAATATGGATTTAAACAAAATGTTAAACGGAGATGAAAGCACAACATTTTAACTGAAAGCATTATAAAATTAGCCAAAAATTATAATAATAATAAAAAAAATGCATAGGGTCACAAAAGAAGATATTTTGAACACAAAAGATGATGTTGAAAATATTTTGGTAACCAAACAGTTGACTAGCCATAAAAAAAAACCCCACTGGAAATCAGTGGCTACCAGCAATTGTTAGGTTCCTTAAAATATCATCTTTTGTGTTCATCAGAAGAAAGAAATTCCACATGTGAATGAGTAAATAATAACAAAATGTTAATTTTTTTGGGTGAACTATCCCTTTAACTGTGTACTGATAAAAATCATAATTTTATTTCCTGCACAAGTTGTATGGAATTGTATGAGCTTTTTCAGTTTTAAATCTTGATAGACAATCATATTATGGAAAAGATGAGAAAAGGTCATCGCACACTTGAGTACGGAATTTTCGTATACGTTTTTTCGTATTCGTCATCCTTTCCTATCAAAATGCTTGCTACGGATGCGAAACACAGAAAATAGAACTTGATTCAGAGAAAGGTTCGGAGGCAGTGTGAAAATGTGATTGACACAACGTGAGATCGTGTTTTTATTTATTTATTTATTTATTATTTTTTAATGTGCGAAAAATTCGGACGAGAATTTCAGACTCGGTGTGCAATGACCTTAAAGGGATAGTTCACCCAAAAATGAAAATTACTCCATGATTTACTCGCCCTCAAGCCATCCTAGGTGCATATGACATTCTTCTTTTAGACGAATACAATCGGAGTTATATTAAATAATGTCCAGGCTAATCCATGCTTTATAATGGGAGTGGATGGTAGCCCAACATTTGAAGTGCAAAAAATAGCCCTCATCCATTATAAAAGAAGTCCACATGGCTCCGAGGGGTTAATAAAGGCCTTCTGAAGCGACGCAATGCGTTTGTGTAAGAAAAATATCCATATTTACAACTTTATGAAACTTAATCTCTAGCTTCCGCTAACTGTCGTACGCGCATTCACGAGAGAGAGGCGTCCAGCTAATGACGTAGGATGTAGGCGTAGCGTAAACTCCAATGAGAATACGCTAGTCTCGCGAGAAACAAGTTTTGTTTACAGCAAAGGAAAAACGGTGTCCTCTTGGCGTATATCGAAATCCTCTGACATTTTTCTTTACAAATCCTCGTTTTGTACTACTAATTTGTGACCGGTGTTTTGTTTCGCTCTCTCCTCTGCACTTCCGCGTTCGTCACTGCGTTTGCCTGCGTCTTACGTCATCCGCTGGACGCCTCTCTCTCGTGAATGTGCGTACGACAGTTAGCGGAAGCTAGAGATTAAGATTTATTAAGTTGTAAATATGGATATTTTTCTTACACAAACGCATTGCGTCACTTCAGAATGGATAGGTGCAATTTTTTGGACTTCAAATGTTGGGCTACCATCCACTCCCATTATGAAGCATGGATTAGCCTGGACCTTATTTAATGTAACTCTGATTGTATTTGTCTGAAAGAAGAATGTCATATACACCTAGGATGGCTTGAGGGTGAGTAAATCATGGAGTAATTTTCATTTTTGGGTGAACTAACCCTTTAAGTCTAAAGGAATGCTAAAGAAAACCCCTCCAAAAGTCAAGAGGATCATAAGGAACGTCTCTGTATGTCTCCCCTCTCTTCAGGGCTCAGTCGTTTGCAGAGCGTCTGCGTCTTGGTCTGGCCGTCATGCACGGAGAAGCACAGTGTTCGGAGTCCGACATGGCAGATGGGCGGCATTCTCCTCCATGTGTCCGCAACACCATTGGGCACCCCGGCTTGGAGTTGCCATGTAAGAGTCACCACACTCTGAATCCCAGCATCTCCAAACCAGTGACTAAGCCTTAATGTTATTAAGAGGTTAAACCAGGTTACAAACACAAACTAGATCAGAAAGGCATTTTGTGATAGTATTTCACCCATTAAAATCAAAAGAAAGTAACGGTAGGTAATGTTTTTTTTTTTTTTTTTTTTTTAAAAAAAAAAAAAAATTTTTTTTTTTTTTTTTTTTTTTTACAAAGAAATTAAGTTTAATATTTATGGGACACATATTTTCAGGAAAATGGAAGCATTTCATTCTCATCACTGTAATTAAAAATGCAGAAATATTGAACTATAACAAAAGTACAAAAGCGAATTAATGAAGATGTGCTGTCATGAAAATAATACCACATTGCAAAAAATACAATTTTTATGTTTTTCCAAAGTAAATTTACAAAAATATTTACTTTTCCTTTTGATTTTGGGGTGAACCCCCCCCCCCCCCCCCATAAAAAACATGTTTTTGTAAGATTTAGCTGAGTTCATACAATGAGCCTGTTAATTAAGGGTTCGATCGCAGCATTCAGCTTGCAAAATAGCTGATTCTGGAGATTAAAGAGCTCAAGATAGGTCAAAAGTTTTTTTTTTTTAACCTTCCCCATTCATTAATCACTGTCTCTAGATGTTTACAAAGACTTTGTCTCAAAACCTACTAAAACGAGCCACCTAGACAGCACTGAGTCTCCTCTGTTTTGTTCCAAACCTATTGAACAATCCAACTAAAAAAATACAGCAAATACTCAAAAGTGACAGGAATGAACAATCATGAAAGCACATTAATTGCAAAATACCGGAACAGAACACATATCAAAATGAAGTCTTAGGTTTAATTTTGTGGCATTTTGGCTCTATCTAGTGGTCCAAATGTTTAGAGCGCAGCAACTTGCTTGGTGACTTTCATTTCAGATAAACAGTGCTCGACACTTTATGGTCTTAAGATTTTTTTTTTTTTATTCTTTAAAAATAGATCTGTTTGAAGCATGTGTATGTATAGACCAACAATTAAAGGGGTCATAAGATGCTACATGCACTTTTACAAGTTGTTTGAACTGAAATGTGTGTTGGCAGTGTGTGTACACAACCACCCTATAATGATAAAAATCCACCCAGTGGTTTTTTTTTAATCTGGTTTTGGCCTGTCACGATAATAACTTTTTGTTGTGCGATATATTGCCCCAGAAATAATTGCGATAAGTGATATTATTTTAAAGGCCATTTTATGCCACTGAATATATAATCATAACATAACAGCATAATAATGCAAGAAGGCCTACACACTTCCAAATGACTTTCCAAAAAACTTTTAATTTTTAAGAATATTTAGATCATAGAAATGAAGTATCAAAATATTAGATGCCTTAAAAAAAAAAAAAACTTTTCTTACAAAAAGTGCAACGTAACGCAAGTAGAAAAAAAGAAAAATGCACAAAGAATGTATGGAGACTTTTCCATTTACAGATTTGCAAGAAGGCCTACACACTTCCAAATGACTTTCCAAAAAACTTTTAATTTTTAAGAATATTTAGATCATAGAAATGAAGTATCAAAATATTAGATGCCTTAAAAAAAAAAAAAACCTTTTCTTACAAAAAGTGCAACGTAACGCAAGTAGAAAAAAAGAAAAATGCACAAAGAATGTATGGAGATTTTTCCATTTACAGATTTTTTTCCTGACCTTTTCTCTGTAAATGAAGGGTGCACACTATTGCTGAAAAACACAATCACTACTTAGCAGTCAGATGTCTGTATGCACAAAAGCACAGATCCCTAACAAGACCATATCTTCAGATGAAACTTTTTTTTGTAGAAGCATTTTTTAAATTTGAAATAGCACCTCATGACTATACCACGTTATGTACGAGAAGCTGCAAAAGACACAGGCGCAAGTGGAATGTACAAAACATGGTGACATTAATCGTTAAGTAAATATAATGGGCGATATATTGCGTCACCAAAAATGATTGCGGGCAAGTACATATCTTGCGCGATAAGTCGATATATTGATTATTGCGACAGGCCTAATCTGGTTAAATGTTTTCCCCTTTCTCAAATCGAGCCGATCTCAGATGCCTGTCTGTGTGGCGTCACACGGACAGGCCCCTCCCACGATAGTTTGATTGACAGTAG